TGGTTTTGTTCATTTTGTGCACCTATGTATAAATATATACCTATGTTTTGAATTTTAAAAATCATATTTTATTTTTCCAATTAAGAAGGGTTCGGTCAATGCGCATATGAAACTGGTGGGGTTCAGTACCTCTAAAAAGGTTAAGAACCACTGGCATAGAGTGATCGGCTAGAAGACGCCAAAAAAGGAGGGGACTTTAAGGGATTGGAGAGGATTAGTCATTGCAGATAGTGTAAAGCCTGGAGATGAGATTTAAAGTGTATGCCCAGGCATTACCCAAATTTTCTCCCAAACCCCCCTCTCCCCCTTCCATCATTCCCATGTCCCTTCATTCATTTTCTCTTTTACTCTGTTCCTGTAGCAAGAAACAGCTTTTGTTACACTTTTGTGACATCAGCATCAGGAATTTTAAAATTTTGCAAGGCAGACACCAGGAGGTAGGTTCCTGTTGATGTAGGCAGGGATTCAGGTAGTGATGGTCCTCAGGTTCAGGTCCTCAAGGTCAGACCAAAAAGGAAGATTGAAGACCCCTGGAAAGGCCAAGAAAAACATGAGAGGAGAGTGCGGGAGAGTCTTTATAGTGTAGAATGCATCTAGGACAGCCCTTCTCAACCTATTTAAAACAGAGGAACCCTTGAAAGAACATTCTGGTCTCAGGGAACCCCTGCTAAAAATGACTATATCTACAACTCATGGTCAGTGGGAAGAATGCTCCTTACACTTGTGGTCATTGGAAAAAATTACCCCCTTACAGATAGCTAAAAAGATCACATTGCACATTGCTAAAGGAACCCCTAGAACAGGGGTAGGCAACCTGAGAGCCGCAAGACTACAATCTCCATCATGCCTCTGCAAGTCATAGCTGTAACTGTCAGTTTTGTAATCTTTGCAATGCCTCATGGGAAATGTAGTTCCACAACAGCTAGAGAGCCACAGGTTGCCTACCCCTGCCCTACAAAGAGAAAAATAAAAAATGCCTTACATCTGATGAGGTTGCGGTGACCCAGTAGAACCACGTTACCTTCCACATACACAGATGGAAAAAAACCCTGGGTTCTATAAAGAGTTCTCAGGCAGATGTTGTACTGGTTGGATGGGAAGAGGGGAAAAAAAAAAATCAGTGATCCGAACGGTAGAGGCGTCCCAGGTGGTGTGTCCAAGGATGGGTTAGAGTCATCATGTTGGATGAACATCAAACAGCTTTATTTGACCAAAAGACGCATTTTGTGGCTTTAATTCATCTCAGTATGGGGTGATACACAATGTTTCCCACTCCCTAGTTTTTTTGTTCCACTTGGGTGTGATCATGTGGACACACTTAGGTGGAATGAAAAACTAGGGAGTGTGAAACATTTGTGTATCACCCTAAACTGAGGAAGTGGCAAATTGAAGCAATGAAAAACATTTTTGGTGAAATAAACCTATTTGATCTTGGTCATGATGACTCTGACCCATCCTTGGACATACCACACTGGGAACATCTGCCATTCGGATCACCAATAAGATTTTTTTTACCTCCATCTGTTGATGTAGTCACTCCCCCAAAACTACAAAGAGCCTTTTCCCTACGCACAGTGGGGTTGCTTTGCTAAAGGCAAGTAGACTGCTCACTTTGCAAAACAAATTGCAGTTTGCAAGAGAATTTTCCCCAGAGCTTAATTAATTAGGTGAAGCTCTGTTGACTTCTATCATTAAATCATGTGCTAGCAATTTTTTTTTTCTTGCTTGTGATTGGGTATTCTTGTATTTAATGTGAAACTGCACCACATTTACTAACCTCTGAGAAAAATTATCCTGCAAAGTGAAAAGCCTATTTTGTCTTTAATAAATCAACCCCAGCATCCCGTAATGTCCTGTAGTCAGAGCTAACAATCCTGGTTTTAATTTCAGCGCAGAAGAGTCACTATGTCGTCATCTCAAATAGGAATTTAGTTCATTGGATTTATGGAAGATCAACAGGTACTTTTCTGTACTTACAGCTTTTTAGTTTATGCTAGACCAGTGGTGGGCAACCTTTTTTTTCAACTGAGCCAAATCTCGCCAAAACCACGATTGAAATTTATTTTGAGAGCCACATTTTTAAAACTGAAAATACATCCCACATATAGTAATTCATCCCCCATAGTAATTCATCACCCATAGTAATTCATCCCCCATATAGTAATTCATCCCCCATAGTAATTCATCCCCCATATAGTAATTCATCCCCCATATAGTAATTCATCCCCTATAGTAATTCATCCCCCATATAGTAATTCATCCCCCATAGTAATTCATCCCCCATATAGTAATTCATCCCCCCTATAGTAATTCATCCCCCCTATAGTAATTCATCCCCCTTATAGTAATTCATTCCCCATATTGTGTCAATTCACTTACCTTTGCTCCGCACGTTCCTCTCGCCGTGTTCCCGCGCCGTTCCGGTCTTCAGGGCGGACTGTGAGAGGAGAGGAGTTCGTCACGCTGCCCCGCCTACATCCTGACAGCCAATGTTTGCCACGCTCCGTAGTTTGCCCATTGCTGGGCTAGCTGCAGAGTCCTGACTTTTGGGGCGGCCGCCCGAGAGGAGGGAGGGGAGCGGGCGCCCGGCACACAGAAGAGCCGCATTAAAAGTTTGTAAAGAGCCGCATGTGGCTCGCGAGCCGCGGCTTGCCGACCACTGTGCTAGACCAAATAGACTGTATCTAATTCAGCTTCATCAGTATATGTAGCCATTAGCCACATGCTAATGGCAATTTTGCACCACAGACTTGCACTATAAACTTCTACCCTAGGGACCTAAATTGTATGCTTGGCCACTCCAAGTCAACTAACTTGTACGCCCTGAGCTAAAATCTCCAAAAGGGGTCCTGAGCGTGTATTTATTATAGTGATGGGCGCCAGTCACTTTGCCATCTTTTGTCAAATAGTTCTTAACACATTTGCAGTGTGGGGATGGAAGTCCATCAGAATGAGCCAAAAATGATTTTCTCTTTGGAGAATCAGTCATATGTCTGTAATCACCCCCTTTATATAAATGGAAGATCGTGAGTCTTGCATTAACACAGTGGGGAGTTGTGATTTAGTCCAATCTGCAAGGGAAATTTTCCCCAGAGCATAATGAATGTGGTGAAATATCACTTTGCAAAAAATACTCAATAACGTGCAAGAAAAAAAAGGACAGGTTGAATGATGGAAGTCAGTAGAGTTTAATTTCATTTACTAAATTCCCTTTGCAAAGTGAAAAGTCTGCCTTTGGTAAATCAATCCCAAAGTGTCCGGAACTTACCTGTGTTATGTTTACCCCACCAAACACTCAGCAGTCACTGGTACCCTGCCATTGCACATGGGGAGGGGAATGAGTATAAAGTATTTGCTGGTGGTCAGCTTTCCTTGCTGTTTCCTATTGAGTTCTTTGTTACTTGCTGCTTTTCCCCTTGTCTTCCTGGGGTCCTGCTGTCCACCTGTTGTTCTTTTTGTCTTTTCTGGGTCCTGCTGTCTGCTTGTTGCTGTTCCTCTTGTCTTTTCTTGGTGCTTCTGTCCACCGGTTTTCCTTCTGTCTTTCCTGGGTCCTTCTGTCCACCTGTTGCTATTCCTCTAAACTTTCCTGGGTGTTTCTGTCTACCTGTTGCTGCTACCCCTGTCTTTCCTGGGTCTTTCTGTCTACCTCTTTTCCTCTCTGTCTTTCCTGGGTGCTTCTGTCCACTTGTTGCTTTTCCTCCTGTCTTTCCTTGGTCCTTTTGTCCACGTTTCCTCCTGTCTTTCCTGGGTTCTTCTGTCCACCTGTTTGTCTCCCCCCCCCCTGTCTTTCCTGTGCCCTACTGTCTGCTTGTTGCTGTTCCTTTTTGTTTTCCTGAGTCCAACAGTCCACCTGTTGCTGTCACCAAAGTCTTCCCTGAGTCCTATCCAGATTTTACTATTCCCACTGTCTTTTATGGGTCCTTTTGTTTCCTCTCTATTACCTGGGTCTTGCTATCCATCTGTTACTGTTCCTTCTGTCTTACCCTAGGTCCTCCTGCCCAGCTGTTTTTCATCCTCCTGTCCTACTTGGGACGTGCTGCCCACCTCAGCGTTAGCTGAGTCTTCATGTCCATCTATTACTGCATTTCCAGCTGCCCTGTCTCCAGGAATCCTTTATATCTTTTCCTGCACCCCAGCACTCTTACCGTGTCCCAGTGAGAACATACCCGCCTTATTTATTACTTCAAGTAAGCTTTGCACATGATGGCCGTAGTCAAGTGTACTCTTCCTGATTGATCCATACTCTGTTGGAAAGCCACCCAAGTAGCTTTCAGATGGTTGTACCTAGGGAGTTCTTGTACTTGTTGCTGTCCTCATCATTCCTGTCCTTGAAATGTTCCAACTTGACTTTGTCTTTTTAAAGTTCCTTGTATTCTAAGCCTTGTCTCCTAGCTTATTTGACTCCTAGTTCTTTAATGATATCAGTCTACTAAGACCTTGTACCATCCTGTTCCCCAGTGAGAGGCACAATATTGTACCTTATGGATGATACGTGCTTCTCGGAGAACTACAAGTGGCTGTGACATGGCCAGTCTACCTGAGCAAGAAGACAATTTGGCAGAGACCAGTCATGTGAACCAGGTACTGGGGAAAAATGAACCTTGTGGGGCACAACCTTGCAGGGAAATTATTTAAAGCGGTAGTAAACCGCAGTTTGAGAAAATAAAAATTAAAAAATCCCCTGGAAGGTAATGTCATAATGTGCTAGTATGCATCGTATACTAGCACATTATGTAGGACTTACCCTAAACTGAAGCCCTCTAGCGGTGCCATGTCCTCTCTGCAGAGGTTTCCATCTGCATCCGGTCTTCCTTCTGGGTTCACGAGTCTTGGTCGTCTGACTGGCCTAGCCACACTGACGTCACTGCATGCAAGAGTCTCGGGACATGGCACAGTGCTCTGAATTTCCTTCAGAATGCATGCTCCAGTGGACAAGAGAAAATATATCCTAAATGGTGTACGTTTAGGAGATATTCATTTTACCTACAGGAAAGCTATATTGTAAGCAGGGGCGGACTGACCACTTGGAAACTCGGGCACTTCCCGAGGGCCCGGGGTCAGTAGGGGGCCCCATGAGATGCCCCTGGTACCTTTTTTATAGGCTTTTTTGAGTTTGGGCAAGGACATAGGGGCCCCATGATCCCCTATTGCCCGGGGGCCCCATGAGTTGTCAGTCCGCCCCTGATTGTAAGCTTCCCTGTAGGTAAAAGATATGAAAGTGGGTTTACTTCCACTTTAAAGAGATATATAGCTTCATCTACAGTACAGTAAGCATTCACTGTCACACAGTAGCATTATTACTTTCAGAGTTTGGCTTTAAACGCCATATTTAAAGAATTATACTCATCAAGTTGGTCTATTATAGATGCTTATCTAAAACTAAACTTTAAAAAGACTTCACATTCCCCTAAGGAACCTTCACCCCCAGCAAGATGTAGGAAGAAGACCAAGAATTCACTAATGCCAACTAGAAGTTCAAAAAATCTGGGCAATGAAGAGAGATACCATTTATCATCCAAACATTCCTTTCATCCAACCATTCTGACTTTTTTTGAAAGTATCACATGGCGTTGCCCTTTAAATAATGTATATGTGCTTTATTTGCATCATCATGTAACACCCGCTAGGTTAGCTAGGTTTTTTGTTTTTTAAATAGAGGCTGAGTAGTAGCCTGGAATGAGTCAGCCTGGGAGTGGGGTAGTGAGTTCACTTCAGGACAGGCTGGAGGGTTCTACAGGTCAGGGCTTCTGGTGCCCTCCCACCTTTCCAGAAACTGGAGAACTTTTTGGAGAAGAGGTGGAGGCCCAGATCTGCATGTTTGAGGGACCTTGGCCAACCCTCTAGCACAGGGGTGTCAAATTGGTGGCCCTCCAGGTGTTGCACAACTACAAGTCCCATCATGCCTCTGCCATTGGGAGTTATGCTTGTAACTGTCAATCTTGCAATGCCTCATGGGACTTGTAGTTTGGCAACAGCTGGAGGGCCGCCATTTTGACACCTGTGGTCTAGCAAAAGGCTGGGCATGGTGACCAGGGCAACCCTTAAAAATGACAGAACCTGGGGAGCTGGAGTAGTCGGGTGGAAGATGGACTGAGAAGAAGGCTGGAGTGTGGAGCCTGGGAGGGGGCCCCAGGAAGGGGAGCCTACCTACAGATTGGTTGCTGGACAGGAAGATATCCACTGCTGTCTCCTAGGGAGGACATCCTGAGCAGCAGGGAAGGAGACAGCCCAGTAAAAGGCCTGAAAGCAGCTACCAACCCACCTCCCTGACAGGACAGGACAGTGTGAGTACTCCTACACTCCCTAGGCCAGATAAGGGGAGAGGGCAGTCAGGTACAATACCCAACTAGTCCTCATCCAGGACTGCTTAACTGCAAGCGTCTGGGACATCTTGCTCAGGGATATCCTCAATACAGCAGTTTAGAGAGGAGGATCCACCATAATGGGACTGTAAAGGGACAGTGCAATATTTTTAGTAGTCCACATTTTTGTACATTGGTGCTAAGAAGTTCGTCCTCAAGTTCTACAGTTCCTTGTGCATCCCATATACCCCTAGACCCCATCCAAGTTGTTAATCCCTAAATAAAAACAACTAAAAGAAACAGCTCAAGGACTGTTTACTAACTCTGAAGGTGTGGAAAATGCATGTTGCCTAGCTGTGCAGAGCATAGGGGAACCCAAACTAAATCAAGCGGTCCTTACAAGGGTAGTGCTAAAATCATATTGTCTGTGTGCTTTAGTTCTCCCTGTAGTCCATCTCCTTTAACTGCAATTCTTCAACCAAAACCCTAATCAGAAAAATATGCTTCTTCATCATCCAAAAGAACCCCCCAGCCCCTCCTATCGTATAGATATTGTTGGAGTTTTTTTCTAATAACATTGGCGATTTAACATGGAAAACTTTTTTCACAGAGTTCATGCATTTTAAGTCCAATTTAATACTTGAGAAAATCTCTTTTGTTTTCCAAGGCTCCACATACCATGTTATGAAGACCTTTCCCCAGGTCTTTTCTGCTGTACAATCTCCTCTGATGGAACAAGTGACAAAATAAACCACGAAGGAAGGATTTTTGGGGGACTTTGCACTGTGTTTTGTTAGTGTAATCATCTCTTATTAACTTAATCGGCACAAATCAGAATGTTCTGTGATCTTTATCTGAGCTTGCTGGATAAATGTTCTCAGATTACCGAGCTGGAGGAGTTTAAGTATCTACTTTGTTAATTCTCTCACTCAAAGGATAATTTTGTGTACTGCAAAAGCAAACTACCATTATGTGGGATATAAGTAAAATTCCAGCTTTGTAAATAAAAAATCATATATTGCAACAGATATAACAAAACACATTCAATGGTACAGTCAGGTCCATAAATATTGGGACATCGACACAATTCTAACATTTTTGGCTCTATACACCACCACAATGGATTTGAAATTAAATTAACAAGATGTGCTTTAACTGCAGACTGTCAGCTTTAATTTGAGGGTATTTACATTCCAAATCAGGTGAACGGTGTAGGAATTACAACAGTTTGCATATCTGCCTCCCACTTGTTAAGGGGCCAAAAATAATGGGACAATTGGCTTCTCAGCTGTTCCATGGCCAGGTGTGTGTTATTCCCTCATTATCCCAATTACAATGAGCAGATAAAAGGTCCAGAGTTCATTTCAAGTGTGCAATTTGCATTTGGAATCTGTTGCTGTCAACTCTCAAGATGAGATCCAAAGAGCTGTCACTATCAGTGAAGCAAGCCATCATTAGGCTGAAAAAACAAAACAAACCCATCAGAGAGATAGCAAAAACATTAGGCGTGTCCAAAACAACTGTTTGGAACATTCTTAAAAAGAAGGAACGCACCGGTGAGCTCAGCAACACCAATTGACTCGGAAGACCACGGAAAACAACTGTGGTAGATGACCAAAGAATTCTTTCCCTGGTGAAAAAAAACATCCATCCAATATCAACCAGACACTTCAGTGAATTCCCTGCTCCACCAGGCCCTAGCCCATTTATGCACTCTTCGGCCATCTACTGGACATCCTCTCCCCTAGGATTGGCTGACACCACATGAATATTCAGGCGCAGGGCCTGCCTCTTCCAACCCCGTACTAGCTGTCACTTTTTAAAAACAGAGTGGTATATTTATGTAGAGCAGACCATGACGGGCCCCGTAGATTTGTCCCAGGTTCTCTCCCCTAGTAGGTGTAAAGGCAGCCAGGCACACAGCAGCATGGACAATTTAACAACTCAATAAACAGACTTGGAGAGTCTTTTTGAAATATAATGATAGTTGAACTTGGTTTGGGGTGCAGGGTGAGCTTTTGGATACTTCAAATTTCGTACACAAAGTATCAAAGGACACTCTTTGCCTTGACTACACTCCTCAGTATACAGTTGTGTCCAAAATTATTCAACCCCCACTGAAATTGAGTGTTTTGGCCAGTTTGACATTGCTTTTGATCATTCAGTCATCTTGCTTACATTTACATTAAAGAGGCACTTGTAGGTCAGACAAATATAACATAACAGTTATAATGAAATAACCACAAATGTCTTTTCTGTGCTCACAGCATTATCAGTTTTATTCAACCCCCAAGTGACATTCAATCTTAGTACTTAGTACAGCATCCTTTTTACAGTTATAACAGCTTTTAAACGTGAAGCATAGCTTGACACAAGTGTCTTGCAGCGATCTACGGGTATCTTCGCCCATTCTTCATGGGCAAAGGCCTCCAGTTCAGTCACATTCTTAGGCTTGCGCACTGCAACTGCTTTCTTTAAGTCCCACCAGAGGTTCTCAATCGGATTTAAGTCTGGTGACTGCGATGGCCACTCCAAAATGTTCCAGCCTTTCCTCTGCAACCATGCTCTAGTGGACTTGGAGGTATGCTTGGGATCATTGTCCTGTTGAAAGGTCCAACGTCTCCCAAGCCTCAGGGTGTGTGACGGACTGCATCACGTTTCCATCCAATATCTCCTGGTACTGAAGAGAATTCATGGTACCTTGCACACGCTGAAGCTTCCCTGTACCTGCAGAAGCAAAACAGCCCCAAAGCATGATTGACCCTCCACCATGCTTCACAGTAGGCAAGGTGTTCTTTTCATCATAAGGCCTTGTTCTTCCTCCTCCAAACATAGCGTTGATCCATGGGCCCAAACAGTTCTAATTTTGTTTCATCAGTCCACAGAACACTATCCCACAACTTTTGTGGTTTGTCCACATGGCTTTTGGCATACTGCAGTCGACTCTTCTTATTCTTTGGAGACAGCAAGGGGGTACGCCTGGGAGTTCTGGCACGGAGGCCTTCATTACGCAGTGTGCGTCTTATTGTCTGGGCTGAAACTTCTGTACCCACATCTGACAAATCTTTTCTCAGTTCCTCAGCAGTCACACGGGGACTTCTCTCCACTCTACGCTTCAGGTAGCGCACAGCAGTCGAAGTCAGCATCTTCTTTCTGCCACGACCAGGTAGCGTTTCAACAGTGCCCTTTGCCTTGAATTTGCGAATGATGCTTCCTAAGGTGTCTCTTGGTATGTTTAACATCTTTGCAATCTTCTTATAGCCATTGCCCTTCCTGTGAAGAGAAATCACCTCTTCTCTTGTCTTCCTGGACCATTCTCTTGCCTTCACCATGTTTGTAACCACAACCAGTAAATGTCTAGAAGGAGCTGAGTATCACAGTCATTTTAAAGCTGCCTAATTGGTGCTTATTATGCTTGATTGCTGCTCGGTGACATCCACAGGTGTTTTCAATACCTGAGGGAAAGCACCTGTATGAACCTCTGTTCTTCAGAGTGGTAGTCTTTAAGGGGTTGAATAATTGTGGCAATGAAGAAACCACATAAGAACCATTTACTACTGTATTACATAAACAATTGATGTCATTTTAGTTGCATTTGGGTAGTTACAACGTCCTTGTAGGATTTGATTCTGAATACAATTCCAAATGTACACTATAGTCCCTAAACCCCTTTACAGCATTGGGGGTTGAATAATTTTGGACACAACTGTAGTTCCCCTTTTTGTCAGACAGGAGAATGATCAACTCCAAGAATGGTAAATGTCCCAATTCCGCAACCGTGGAGCAGCTGCTCCAAGGGTTAGAGTAGCAAACTATCACTAGGATTCTACACTCAGGCCTGTACTCACAATATCCCTGTATACTTGGATGCATCCATCCAATATCAACCAGACAC